CACACACACACACACACACACACACACACACACACACACACACACACCTCAGAAACAAACAGCACAGTCACAGGATAAAACAAACCAAACCAAACATGGAGCATGGGTTGCAGCAGAACTACTCACGGGTACAAGCCATGGATGGAGGGTCTTTGTCTGCCCGGAAATAATTATTCTCACACCTGCAGTTCATTGAACCATCTTCATGTGTCGAGCTGTGTGGTGGGCACTTAGCACACTTGGCAATACCATCTGAGGCCTTGTAGAAGCCTGGTCGACAAGCTGCAAACAAAATGGCTCTTTTAAAATTTCTGCAGTTGTTTTGCATCTTGAAATGTGTAAAACAGATTGCTGGATGTCAGAGCACTAATTTTTTTTATGAGAAAAATGAATTTGTCGCCTCCCATAATTTACAGAAACAAGTAATGTGGGCAGTGTGATCTCCCCTTGTATTCATTTGAATTTGATTTGCACCAAATGTCTAGGGAAATAAACACCCCGAAAAAAAGTCCCAAGATTAAGATCATTGTGGCACTAAAGTATGGTGAGGTTTTCTGCGCGTTTCTCACAGCTTTACTTGGCATTGGACATTTTGTGGTGAGAATAAGGGAAAATAATGTCAGGAGGCAGTCATTCTGATTCTAAAATACGGGGCACTGTGTGTCCTATCTGCACTGCGGTTACCACTAAACTGCCTGTTGACATGCTTTTACATTTCTATCTGTATAGAGCTTTGCATTGACTACCTTAAGGGGCAGAAAAGAAAAAAAAATCACGGTGTGCCGCACATCTGAAGATTGGTAAGGGATTTTCCTGAGCGATTATTATTACTATTTGTCTGGATAATGTCTCTTAACTTCTAGGACAATGGCACACCCACAGGATTTAAATTCATTTCCTTATCTCCATCTGAAACAGAAAACAGTTTTCTCATTTACACTGTTGTAGGTATGAATTGTTACTAGGTAAAAGTTTCTTGCAAATTAAAACTATGTCGACATTTTTTTTTCTGTGCACATCTCTGCATAATGTAGTTTTATAAGTCCAATAAGCTGCTTGTCAGAGGGCTGTCTCCCATTACTTTCATTTAGTCCGGTGGAACATCTAACATGTTCCTCTGTTGCATTTGAATAATTGAAAAACACATTGGGAACTGAAATCACTGTGAAGTTTCTAACAAGAGTTTTTTTTTTAAGAAATTATAATAGGGAAGGAATTTAGCATCCAAATTCTGGTCTTTATGTTTTAAAATTCAAATGAAATGATTCCTTGAGATAGGATGGTTCGTGGCCTTTGTACATACATAAGCATGCACAGAGTTTAACCAGATTTAATAATTTTCTTCTATCAATTTTGTCTCGTGAATGAAGTGCTATATTCATTTAAAGATAATTTATGTGGACAACTCGTAACTTCTTCAGCATAAATCTCAATTCAAAAGGAATCAGCTCCACATACACAATGAACTCACTCTTATTCACTCCTAGAGATACAAGGATGGTTCAACATATGAAAATCAACATTGTCTACCATCTAAACAAACTGAAAAAAAAATCTGATCATCTCATTAGATGCTGAAAAAAGCATCAAATAAAACTCAACATTTCTTTACATTAAAGGTCTTGAAGAGATCAAGGACACAAGGACTGTTTTCTAAACATAATAAGGGCGATATACAGCAAGCTGACAGCCAACATCAAATTAAATGGAGAAAAACTCAAAGCGATTCCACTACAATCAGGAACAAGACAAGGCTGTCTACTAGCTTTATATCTATTCAACATAGTACTCGAAGTTCTAGCTGGAAGAATAAGATGACAAAGGGAGTTCAAAGGGACACTAATTAGAATGGAAGAATTCAAACCTTTGCTATTTGCAGATGATATGACAGTATACATCACTGACCCCAAAAATTCTACAAGGGAACTCCTACAGCTGATAAACAGTTACAGTAATGTGGAAGGATGCAAAATCAAGTAAACCAAAAGTAGCTCTCCTATAAACAAATGATAAAGGGACCGAAAAGAAATCAGAGAAACATCACCGTTTACAATAGCTACAATAACAAAATACCTTGGGGTAAACTAATCAAAGACGTAAAAGACCAACATGACAAGAACTTTAAGTCTTTGACAAAAGAAATTGTGAAAAATATCAGAAAATGGAAAAATCTCCCACACTCTTGGACAGGTACAATCAAGATAGTGAAAGATACTAGAAATCCTACCATAAGCAATTCGATAGATTCAATGAAATCCCCATCAAAATCCCAGCACAATTCTTCACAGACCTTGAAAGAACAATACGCAACTTCATATGGAAAAAACAAAACCCAGAATACTCAAAGTTTCTTGAAATAAACTGAGAAAGATACAGAAGTTGAAGGGACCATTAGAGTCACATAACTGATAAAAATCATTCATGCAGTCTTGCTGTTTTCTAGTTCCTAATAAGATTGTCTATTCCAGGATGATTTTGCAATATACGAATTAACTTTTGTTGTTACACTGAGGTACTAATGAATAAATCCTATTATCTTAATCCAATCCACACTGTAATGCACATATCCACTCCCACTGCCCTTAAGCACTTTTAGAAACCATACCTCACATCCTATCATGCCACCGGAAATGATAAAAATTACATAAACAAAACATATATTCAGCTTCTGCTTTCAATTTAATTCATTACAAAATGGCTTTTAATTTTCAGGCAGGGTTTGCTGAATCTTTAAGAACTTAAGTTGCAGTGTGCTGTTGTAGTTGTTATTTTGTTTGCTTGTAAATTTATCTGCATGTTTTTGTTTGAGGCTTTTACAGTTTCAACATATGGCATAAGGGTATTCACTAAGTACTTGATCAGTTTTTCTTCATGTTGTAAATGCCTATGTGATATTTTTAAAATGAAAAAGCCATGCCTTAACTACATTGCACTCCATCTGTATTATTGATGACACTTGAATATAGCTATGTTCAATAAGTCTATGCACTAGAAGATAGCTGTAGTTAGTAAGTCTACAAGCTATAAACATGGCTCAAGCTAGAAAGGAGAATTTGTTCAATCATTGTTGCATAATAATAGTGATAATAAAAATTCATATCATATGAAAAAACATATTCAGTTTAATAAACACTTGACAATTAACAAATTTTGCTTAGAATATTGGATAGGCATGAAGAGACACTCATCTCCAATTCTAATCACAACAAAAGGGCTTTGGAAAGGCTTGGTGGGGTATGCCTGTAATCTCAGCCCTTGGAAAGCATAGGCAGGCGGATCTCTGTGAATTCCAGGTAGGCCCAGGGCTACACACGAGACACTGTCTGAAAAAAAAGTTCGGGGGCACTTTTGAAATGTTAAGTGAGCTATAGACATCCACAGATGGAGTGTAATTTGAGAGGCATCATGAAACTTGAGTCGGAAGTAGCCAGTAAGACTTAATTAAATCCACAAATAGATCAATATGTGTAAAGGCAAATTATTATTTAGTGACATATTGCCAGCATTGTGCCAAAACCCTTAATCTTGCTTGTTAATAGAGTTCTGATTTTGTCAAGCGTTGTACCCTGCCATGTACTCCCTTATTCATATTTTATGTCAACTATGAATCAGTGGCAAAAGTAAAAGCAAAAATTGTGACCAAAATAATAGAATACTCAAGATGGACGAATAAAACTGTCTGCTTTTGTTTATTATACATAATTCTTACCTTAACTGTGAGAACATTATGCCTATAACTACAGTAGGTTACAAGAGACTGAAATCTAAGAAAGTCAGAGGAATATGTACCATTTACTCAATGACTCACCAACACCTGTCTGGAAATTTCTTGAGGTTAGAAAGATCATGACTCACATTAATGCAAACAAACAAACAAACAAATAAACAAATAAAGCAGAGCTTTGGGAAAGTGTAATAATCCTGGGAAATCACATTAGCCAGGGTAGATACGGGTGACATCTGAGAACTGACTTTCAGAAAGTAAGTAACACTAACAGATTCTCCATATGCTGACAACCAAGAGCTAGAGTGGTTGGTATATTCAAGTACTAGTATCTACTGACTGAGTATCACAGCTACAACACGTTCTCTGTTAACACCTACATTTAGGAAACATCATCAGTCCTTCTGAATGACAACCGTATGTGCACTTTTGTGGTAGAAATGAATCTGCTTATTTTATCTCCGGATTATTCAAAAAAGGAAGGGGGAGAAAAGAAGATGAAGTAGACTAGGAGAGGAGAGATAATTTATCTGAGATGAAGAAATTCTGTGAACAATTCAGAGAATAAAGGTATTTTTTTTAAGTCTGATTTTATTTCCCTCCCTTTGTTTTTATTTCTGTTTTGTTTTTTGAGACTGGATTTCTCTGTGTACAAACCCTAGCTATGCTGGAACTAGCTCTTTAGTCCAGGCTGGCCTCAAACTCACAGGGATTCACCTGCCTTTGCCTTCTGAATGCTGGGATTAAAGGTGTGTGCCACCAATGTGGGCCCCTTTTGGTGTTTTGAGAGAGCATCTTGCAATAGAGTCCTGATTTGCCTGGTACTGTGTACACAGAGAAGCTTAGGAAAACAATCTTCTTGCCTCTTCTGTAATATTTTGGATTGCAGATTATGCTACCATGTCCAACTTATTTTTCTACCTTCAATTTTAAGAAATAAACAATTTACTCACTGAAACACAACTTTCATATAAAATTTAAACTGTGTATATGCATGTTAGGAAAATAATATGTAAAATTACATAAGTTTGTCCCCCCTAAATTTACTTTTTATCATCTACAACAAATAGGAAACATTGTAAGAAGCAGTAATGTTGTTGTCTACATGTGTCCCTCAAAGATTTTTCTTACGTTTCATACCTATTGCTCATATGGGGAAATGGGAAAGTACATTATTTATTGGAGGAACAGAGAGAGACTGTCAATTTCAAAAACAAAGTGAAAACAGAAACTATGGTTTATACACTCAATTTTAGACTTCAGAAGTTCAAGACAGGAGAAAAATCCATGAATTCCAGGTGAATTTGGGCTACAGAGTGAGGCCTTACTTCAAAACAAACAAACAAGCAAAACAAATAGGTGGCATGCTGAACTCAACAACTATGCAAGCAATAAATTCTGCCTTTCTTATTGATGTAATTTTCCTTACAATTTCTCTGAATCGTCCACTGAAACTAGGGATATATTTAAAATATATTTGAAAATAAAACTTAAGAATGTATTTTCACATAAAAAATAATCGCTTTTGAGAAAACAATAATTTATAATGTGATGTAGG